CTTTTTTCGTCACTCTGACGTTCCTTGTCCTTATTGCCTTCACGCTTATTCATAATATCAGTGGATCTGTGTGTCTATATCCGACACGCCAGGGTCCAGATGCCCACAGCTAAACGGGGCCTCACTACGCTGAAGTCCATTTCACCAAGACAACCTACTATCACACTGCATAGCCATTTCACACAACACCAATCCACTTTTTAATTATTGCTATTTTTTTCTTCACTTTCGACACTATAATCACTGCACTGTTTAATTTATCGCAACATGATATTCATCACACTGAAACCGACTTATGTTTCGGCGACTCGTAATTTAGCGGGATTTACTTAAATAAATCCTATCTTAAATGATTAAAACTGATTGCTTATGAATATATTAGATGCAATATCAATATTCCATGAAACGACTACAGGTCGGTGTGCCAATGTTATGTTCATTGAAGAGTAACAACAAGCTTAGTAGGTGGAAGTGGTAACACTTAGCTCGTACTGGCTTGAGCACTTTATTAACCTGAATCGTTCGAATGGAGAATAATGTTTATCGCTAGTTAATAAATATGATCAAGAAACCAAAAAGCCTATAAATTGACAACACCTTTTCAATGCTGGAAGTCAACCCAAATAGGATGTAACGTCCGTACTAAACAATTTCATTACAGACTTTTAGGGATCTTCATCATATGGAATCTCAAAAAAATTTACACATTGAACTAAATTAAAATAAACTCCGTACGCAATTTAAGATTAGCTTCACAACGTCGCCGAAACATCAAATAATGGACATTTGTTCTGATAAAAGTTTAGGTTTAGTAATGGCCACCAATGGTACACTTTATGTCACTTTTGTTTTAAATTGCAGATTTGATTTAATTAAAATTACTACAAAATTATTTTAAATTAATTAACCTAAATAAATACCATCTAAAGATAAATTTTCATAGTTAAAAAATTAGTTCAAAGATTATTTCACTGAAATATCGCCATTCGGCGCATGCGCAAACTTGTACCAGTTAAGTCAATGTTGCTAGTTAACAAAAAGTTCTTTAGTCATTAATCAAAATATATGAAGACAAATATTTAAAAAAAAATTAATAACAATCAATCAAGATTTAATTTAGAAGAGTGAATAAAAATTATGATTTATTTGCAAATCATACGCTTTGGGAAATTAGCAAATCTTTATTGAGTTTCTATATGACGTATTAGCTGCGTACTATAATCTGTTTCGAAATAATTATTTAGCGCTAAGTGGTAACATTAATAAAGATGCGTTCATTTATAAATGTTTAAAAAATTAGTTTCGCAAAAGTAATAAATTTCATGATAAATTGAAATAAAACAGAGAGAGAGAGGTATGTTTTACATCATTTAAAATACAACATATGTGTGGTATGGTAAAATATTCTTTAAAGCTTTTTATATAATAGCAAATGAAGATATAAGTATTAAATTGTAGATATTTATGTCTTTTTATTACGCACAATCATCCCAATAACAGATTTTAAATAGTATTAAATTCACATAGTTTGTCTATACTTTAGAATAAGGTTTACACGTCAAATCTAAGATCTTGTGACAATTGTCATTAGTTTTCCCAGTCTTTAGTTTATCTATTTTGTTAAGATTTTGATCCATATTAATTTTGTTTTCGTATTTCTGGCTTCATCGATTCAAAATCCAATCCTTAGAGGTGTTTGGCTAATGATTTATTTTAATGTATCGGGTTTATATATTGTATATAGTTGAAGTTGATCTTAGACGGGCATATTATTTTTGTACACCGGCAGATGACAAGTAATCGGTTATCGGCGGGCAATTTAAAAAGGTACATGATACATGAATAATAATTATTTGAAAAGAAATTTTTAATGATTATCCCCCAATTTTATTCTTAGGAATATGTATGTTGTATGTCATTAAATTTTACGTTTGTAAATTGAAATACTCAATAGGTATAATTCCATCGAAGACAAAGTAAGTTTTATCCTTAGGCCTTGAACAATCTTGAACTTATAAATTCACCTTCTTTTTTACTAAGGTTATGATTTGATTTTAATATTTTATTTGCATTGTCTAAAACATGTAAAAGATACTCCTATTTTTTAAACATAATATTTTCACATAATATTTTGGCTAAAAACATAATTTGTGTTAACTTTTCGTCTGACTTATAGCATTGCTCTATTCTTCTGTATAATTTACATTAAATTAGCTTACCAATTATAAATTTATCCCACCATTTAGTAATTAAAGTCGTGATTAATTATTTTTTTCAATTTAACTTTATTCTATTTACCGGAAAACACATAAAATGTAGCTAGGAAGTGACAGGCTCCTGAAATACAGTTCTCACTACATCAGTTGACTGGATAATATGTTCTTATACCTTGTTTTGTTGCCAATAAATTATACTATAATCATTATTCGAGGACGGAACGCGGCGAACAAAAATTATAGTTTCCTTCCCCCGTGACGTGAAATTGGAGTTCATATTTTTTGGGAATACCGAAAATAACTACAATACTCCGGTTAAAATACACAAAAACCCATGACATACTCATAATAAAATTCGTTGTTTAGGTACTATTGATGTTACTTAATTCATAGAATTGTTACAAAAGTAAAACTCAAACTTAAATATTTTTAGTACAAAATAATTTATTTACATACACCCTAATGTAATAAAGACGGCATTAAAATGTATGATAGTACATAGGTCAGGGTACACCCCAGGGAATAATATTGTTGATTATATTTCTCAGCATCCACGACGAGTAAACCGTCCCATTACTAATCGTAAGATAGCGCCGATATTCAATCGGTAATCTTCAAAAAACTAAACTTGAGCTTTGAATTTAAACACGTAAATGAAATTATTGTATTTTATTCTAAATCAGACTAAGACGAATTCTGTCCACGAGACCTCGTAGAGATCGATAACGATTCGACTCCAGCGCAACACAACGTCATGTCGGTGATCAATGTCAGCGGGATCCAGTTGTCGTAAATCCGCGGTAGCCTTTATACGTGCTTGTGATTAACTTTTTTATTCTACCTGCTATTTGGATTTCACGGTAAGTTTTTTTAATATGGTTATTCAGTAATAAAGTTTTAGATTAGGCTGAAGTAGCAAACGAGGATTTTTTTGTGACGAAAATAAAGCCGGAAAACGAGTCTTTTAAATTACGTTTGTTGATTTCATTGCCAATGCGTAGGTTACATTTTAAAAACATTGTATGCTTATTTTAATCTAGCGTTTTTTTCTGTTGAAAAATAAAAGTTATGCAAATTGTTAATATGTACTTTTATGTTTTCCAATAATATAAACAACAATATTGTTTTAATAAGCGTGTATGATAAAAATAAATTTCTTATCAAAAACGTATTTTTAAACAATGATAATTTGAGACTAAGTATTAATATATATGTGTTTCATTAATATTTTTCGTTAGTTTATTCTGTTCCAAATCATTTTTGTACCGTACATAGCATACTGCTAGAATTGAAGTCCTTAGATGTCAACTCCACTTGCAATAATTGTAATATTTGAACAACTTGAAATCTCAATACATATTTATTGACATAATTGAACAGGGTAACCGATATGCGATAACTTCCAATATTCCAAGATTTTAAATATAATATTTCGACATGACTAATTATTAGTTTACCCTTATCTATAAAATAGATCAGAAATGTATCAATTCTATTTTTTTCTGGTCACGTGTTTAATTCCGCAATCAGAGGTCGAAATTAATTGTGATACATATACAATGTTTCGCGCTGTTTTTTATAATTCAATGTTAACTTGTTCGTAACCGGAATAACAAAATTTATGCTCAATTTTAAATATATATGAGTATAATATTTTACATCTATTTCAAGTATGAAATATTACTAAGTCCAGTACTAAACTGGAAACCCAAAAAAAAAAACATGCCAACACTATTTCCTCGCAATTGCGATGCGCATACGCTGTGTAAGGAATAGGTGTCCCCAGTACGTTTGACAGGCTGCTTAAATCTTTAACTCGCGTCGTAAACACACATTTAAAAAAAAAAAAACTCTTTTTGCTTCTTCAAAAATATTTTTTGATTCTGAGTATGTGTAAAAGTAAAAAATCGATTTGATTATTTCATTTTATCAAATATATTTATATATATATACATATATAGTTAATTACGTATATATATATATATATATATATATATGTACTTTACTTTATCTACTATATTATGTAATACTATATGTAAAAGTTTTCTGAATTGAGCAAAAATATACTTCTTTGCAATAATAACGTACTTAGATTAAATTGTGCCTTATCGCTGATAAGTAATGTAATAATTTAATAAAACTAAACGTTTTGTAACTGTTGATATTTCCTTAAGGTTTTTTTTATTATTAAACAAAAGAAATACGAATCGATGTAAAGAGCAATTTATCATTGATATGTATAAAGATCTACATACGTACTAAATAAAAAAAAATCTTACCAAGCACGGGACAAAATAATAGAATAAATCATATCACGCCAATTTTTTTTAACTACCTCCGTTTTCGCCTGAATATGATTTATTATACTAAACCTACCTTTTTAGTATATGTATGAAACATTTGCTACCTCATAGAGTTTAGCGCGCGTTTAGTTTCAGCGTGCGTGGTCACGTGACCACGCACGCTGTAAAGCACGCGAAACGTCGGATAAATTTAAAATTATGTTAAATAGTTGTAAATTTATAATAATACATAACTTCAATACGGTCAAAATAGTGTTTTATTAAATGAATAAAAGTTATGTTAATCAAAGACAATACTATACCTCATAGAGTGTTCGCTTTTCCATAACAAACCTAAGTAAATAAAACTGATTTTTTCATATTTCCCAATTGCCTTCGAGTTTTTAGCTTAGAAAAATATTTTGCCTTTGTTTTTTATTTTATATTGTAAAAAGGTTATACTGCATTAAATAACCTAATATATGTCTTCATTTCAGTCACAATGACGGACACAATGCCAGTCGAAGATACGTCGAAGTACGTTCTAGAAATGCGAGGCTGGCTTAATTGTCAACCACACTTACCCAAGGATAACATTGGTAAAAAAATTAATTTACTAAGTTAAAAAATCTTAATACACTTAATTAATATTAATACCACTTTAATTCCATACAGTTAAAAATAACATATTATCAAATGGGTGTTAGTTTTGTTATTATACTCTTAGGTATCTATCTAGCTATCTTCTACGTTATGTATTGTTATTTCCGTTAGTTAATGTTCTGCAGTATGGACCCCTTTTGGATGAAGCTTTCCTCCTGAACTAATTCATACAAATATTACACTAATTACTTTATAATACATACATTTATTTAATACCTATTAAAAATATATTATTATTATTTACAATACCTTCAGTTTTGTGCAGAGAACTTGAGAAATGTTTATTCACAGAAATACGTCATTGGTAAAGTATACTAAATGTATAAAAATCAATGCGATTGTGCTTTCAAAACATTAACATAACATTGTCGAGACGAACCTTGACCAAGGACAATTTCAGACGTTTTTTATTTCTTTTCGTCATTACGTTAAAGTAAAAATCAGAATATGTTTATTGAATTGTATATGTTTTGGAGTTGTTTTATTGTCTATCCAGATTGTTGCCAGATATAAATTTATACTTCCCATATTTATATCTGATCTGTAGTTAAAGTAATTAGATCAGAAATCGTTTATAATTTTTATGTTTTGGAGTTGGATTATCTCTTACATTTTTAATTTAATAGCAACACCGATGACAAATTTAATATGCAATAAGAACGCATCGTTACGGTTGAAAGAAGTTTTAACTATAATTAAAGTTCACATTGACGTTTGTTGCCTTGAAATGGAACTGAAGTAATGTAAACCATGTTCGTGTTATTCAATATCGCTTATACAATTCAATGTTGTAATGAATTGTTTATTAACTATATCCAGTCGCTATATACGCCTTTCGATATTTTAAGACTCACTAAGTACAGAATTACTTTAACTTAACTGAAACATATGCACTTAAAGGTATTTTTCGACATAGTTGTATGGTAGTTGGCATTTGTTAAAGTTTTGTTTGGAAATGTTTATCAGAGCCGTGTACGTATTAGGTACAAAATGGAAGCACGAACTTACCTAGTTCGTATAAAACGCGCGTCTTTACAATAAATAGAAAATCCATGCGCCGGAGCTGTCATACATATAAATTTTATATTTATAATCGTTTATAAATATAAAATTTGGCAAAATTAATTATAGTCCCAAATTGGACAATATCACCTAGTAATTAGCAAGAGACATATTATATTATGATCCTGAAAAAAATACGTCTTCCACGATGTCAATCTTGTTTTGGCCAGTGTTCAGCGTGCGACTCTCATCCCTGAGGTCGTAGGTTCGGTCCTCGGCGGTCTGTGCATCAATGCATTTTCTATGTGCACAATTAACACTCGCTCTTAAAGAAAAACATTTTAAAGAAACCGGCATGCTTTAGAGCTGAAAATTCGACTCGTGTGCCACAAAGGGCTGATCACCTACTTGCCTATTAGAAAAAAACAAATGATCAAGAAACAGATACAGAAATCTAAAGCCCAAACCTAAAAGGTTGTAAGGACACGGGTTTTTTTCAATGCTGTAAAGTGTAAGATATAAAAAATACCAAAACAATTTGAACCAAAAAAATTTAATGTTTCCCGTTTCAGATGACAATCTACTTTTGCGCTTTGTACATAGCTGTTACTACGATGTCGAGAAAGCCAAGTCAGCGATGGACAGCTTCTTCAACATCCGATTATCATGCCCCGAACTCCTCGATGGCAGAGACCCTGAGTCGCCGGAGTTTCAGAAAGTTATGAGTATCCTGTAAGTATTGTAATGTAAAATATTTCCGACCTAGAAGTGCCGATTAAATTAAATATTTCAAAGATCAAAATATAAATACATATATCATTTTAGATGGTAAAGATTTTTGCTTAAGATTTTTCAGATTTTTAGTTATATTTTGATACAAGTACACAGTACAGAAAATATTGTTTTTGTGTGAGTATATAAATGCGAAACATTCTTGTATAAAACATCAAAATCCTTAGTTTTATTGAGTAAGAACAACAAACTTATAAAAGGAAACATTTATTTATTTATTTATTAGTTTTTTAGATTCACCCCTAACCTATTTGACACTAATACGTACCAAAGACAATTACAATACCTATAGATAACATAGCGGACCCAGTTTTGTCCCAAACAATTAAATTAAACTGTTAAATGATCAATAAGAAGGTATAACAAATTCCAGGAACATAGGTCAAATTCAGACACCCCAGAACGAATGTCTCTGGATATGGCAATTAAATGACCCTGGCCTCGACAATTACGACTATATCCAGGACGCAAGATATTTTATGTTATCAACAGATGCATATTTCATGTCGAACACCTTTCTGCCAGAGGTAGACATTGTTATTTTAGACGCGAAAGACTTGAATCTCAAAATGCTAACCAAACTGAATTTGTCCGTTGCTAGGAAATTGTCTAAATATCAAGAGGTAAGTTATATTTTGTTTATCCTTATTCCATTGTTAAGGACAATGTTTGGTTAAGCCAATTATCCCCATTCCATTGTTGTAATATTCGAAATCGATATATCTACGTATATATATATATGTATATATAAATGTTATGTTGGGTTGTGTACGCTTCAATAACTCAAAAATTTCTCCACCGATCGTGCTGAAATTTTAGCATGATAAATAATCCGCATCAAGGATTGTTTTTCTCTATTTTTTTTCCACAAGTATTGCAAAATTAAACTTATATGAAATGTTTAGTTTTTCATTTCTCAACCATTCAATCACAATGTGCCACAGCGAAGCTTGGCCGGGAACAGCTAGTTATTTATAAATATTTAGAGAACCTAAAAAAATATAACTTATGAATTTTGTTGAAAACTGACCATCAATTTATCATAAAAAGCGACGACTGTTTAAAGACAAGTTTTGAAATATTGTATTCTAAAAATAAACTGAGGCAAACACATTTCAGTGTCTGTGGCATTAATCATTTTAAAGCGATCCGTATCATCGCACGTATGTATGTTAAATTATCTTTGTAAACGTTACAGTCAGTTGTAAACGTTACGTTACGCCAGTTTTTTATTGAACTAAATAGTGAATGATCTCCGAAAGTATTTTAAAGAATATTTAAAATCAAATGAATAAATTATTATATAAATTAAGCTATTTTTTCAGACAGCACTACCGATCCGTTTGAAACAAGTCCATGTAATTAACGCCCCGTCATCGATAGATACGATTTTCGGTTTGTTAAAACCGTTTCTCAAAAAGGAATTGACTGATTTGGTAAGTTTGTTGCCATTAATTAATTGTCATTTACATTTTTTTTCGTATTATAGAATCTTGTGTTACGATTTCGATAATAATAAATCAACAGTGAATTCTTAAATTGTCTTGCAATCAATAGATATTATTGTTTAAAAGGCTACGTTTTCAGCTTTTGTTCTAAAAACTAAAGTAGTTTTTAGTAGTATACTGTAGACTACTGTACTGTACCTTTGCCACAAAGTTTCTATAATTTTTGAAACGTGTTTTTTCTCTTCGTGAATGTTGTTTGCTGTACATTAATACTGTTTTATGTACCAAAGTATCAGTGTACCGAACATTGGCAAGCTTTGTGATGAAAATAATTGAAGTCTTTATACTCTATTATGTATAGTTGTTAACGAATAATTACGACTTATGATCTCCATCCATAATTTTATCAATTTTGTTATCTTAATATTTCTATGTAACTTATAGTTTATATAGTTTATGTATGGCCTTATTTACAATGTTGCTTATAATATTGAAGAAAAAATAAAATTCTTCAAATTTATTCTTTTAACAAAAATTAAACACGCTTTCACGTATTATCACGAATTTTATTATAATTTGTATTTTCAGCGTCTAACGTAGCTTCAAACAAATTTTGTTTACGTTACTTTATTATTAGTACAATAAATCATTCTAGGTCCACTTTCACACTCCAAAATCGAACGGCCTATATAAATATGTGGAAAAGGTAAATTTACCTACAGACTATGGCGGCGTACAACCCTCGATGGCTGAACAGCATCAGAAAGTTATTTCTGTCATTATGAGCAAAAGGTTTGGATAAACAAATAAATAAACCCATTTAAATCTGCAGTGTTGGTCTAATGGCTTCAACGAGTCTCATTCCTGACGTTGGAGGTTCGAATCCTGGCTGGTACCGCGAAGGAAATCATCGGGAGGAGACTGGCCTTAGGCCTAATAAAATAATTAAATGATCACGAAACAGATCACAAAAATCTGAAGCCCAGACATAATAGTTAGTAGCGCCACGAATTTTCAATGTAAACCTGAGTATTCTGGTTATTTTATATATATTTATGTTTAGGGACAATATGCAGTTTATATTTTATCCCTTTTGTATGATGCTTGCTTTTTTTTCAGAAAAGAACTGATGATCCAAAATCTATGGCGAGCGCTACCCACAGATAAGAAAAAAGTTAATAATTCTAGCTCTTCTATATCTTCATTTAGATCGTTAGCCATAGACTAATAAAAAATAATAAACAGACATGATTTGTAAATGATCAAATGGTCGCCAATTCGCAAATATTTTTTAAATCCACATTATGTATTGTTTAAACTTTATTTAAATACTTTTTTGTTATCTCTAATTGCTTCAAATACTTTTATGTAGCCTAGTATTTCCATTCATTTATGCTTTTTTGACCGTTAAAATCATGGATCTGAGTCAAATAGAAAAACCTATGGACCTGTGTCTCGTAGGAATTACAAATGGTATATAAGTTGTACTGATGACAAAACTAAATTAGCCAATAGATGGCGCTATACAAGATCTGCGGGACTGGCTTTAAAATAAAATGCTAAGGGACCAAGGTGTGGTGTATATGTCACCGTAAAATTGTAAACACCGTTAGACCGATAAATCACAATTCTTGAAGTGCATTCAGTTTATTTGACTGATACCCGTGTTTCATTCCTAGAACGGTCTACTATAAAGCCGACCAATCAGGGACAGCCTTCGGACAGTTAACAATTTGACAATTTTAAGATTGTAATTTGACGGTTTCACTTCGATAGATTACAATCTACCGAATAATAATACGTTAAATTGTAAGCAGTATGTTGAGTTCACAATCTTTCGACAGTTCATAATCTCGCGAGATAGATTACAATCTAACGGTGCTTACAATTTTACGGTGACATATATATATGAGAATGAAAGTACGATTGTAAAAGTTTTAAATAATAAATAAATCTACAGCTTAGTATCTCAAAATGTTTGGACCTATGGCTTATTTTACTCGCATTTATATATTTATTTAGCTTTAGTAGTTAAATTTAAAAAGTGATGAAATATTATTAAAATGATCGAATGCTGGGTTTTTTACTTATTCTATGTACTTTGGTTTTTAGTGAAGGGTTTATTATATACTATTGAGATTACATTTTTTTCGTTTTACCTGGAAAGTTCATCAATAATGTATGTAATGAGTATGTATATAATAATGTTGTGGCCTAAATAGATAATTAATTATGTTTAAAACGAATTTTGCATAATTGTTTATTTAAAAATTATAATTATATACTTTTTATTGTGATACTTGTATAATATTTAAAGTTTTATGTAGACTATATTTAAAAACTATTTATATTTTGGTCAATAACTTATAAAACAATTCTAAAAAAATGGACTTTGGGTCTGCTTATAGCTTGCAATGTTAAGAAATTAATCTATCTCTATGTTCTTAATACAATAAAAAAGAATAATATTAGAAAAGCTGTCAAAGTGCTTTCAGACAATTGACGAGTTAACAAATCGTTGCAATTACGTGAATATACATCTCGGATCTACAAATCTTGCCATTAAGACATATACGTGATGACAAATGCATTTAAATGTTTATTTAATTGACAATAATGGTCAATTATTGTAATATACACAAGACTCAGTCGAAGTGAACTGTCTCTTTTAGACATAGCGTAAACACAATTAGCGAGAAAAAGACAAATGAGTATTCACATATTGAATTAAGTAAAATACATATTTAGAATGCACAATTTTATTCCTGCCAAATTATAGGACAAAATTTGAATCGTAATAGTTTAACGTAAATTATCACCAATGTAAAATGGTGACAGTGACATTTTGATGTCATTTTCGCAGATATGGGCAATACTCGCAACTCTACCACAAACTACCACACAAAGAGAATAGATACAATTATGTAGTTCTAAGGTGATTAATTTATTAGTGTTATTTAAAACTTTAATAAATAAATTAGTTGGATAGCATAATATATACAAATACTTTGACACCTAATAGATTTCATTAGTCTTAAACAGACTAGGTATTTTAAACACAAGCAAAGTTATATTTATATTGCCTTTTATTTTGGGTTTGTCGAGTATAACTTTCAGGTTTCTGGTTTAAGGCGGTATTGTATACACGAAAAACAAATTATTAATAAGGCTGTGTTATGCATTGTTGCCATTGTTTAAATTTACTTATTGTTTTTTTTTTAAATTTCAAGTTATAAATGATTAATGTTTTGTAATAAGAAATATTTGAAAATGTTGCGCTGTAACAAGATAATTTTTTAAATAAATATTATAAAAAAAACATGAAGTATTATTGTTTTTATGGGCATACATTTCATTATTTTTCCTTTATTATTTACACAGACTCAAAATAATATATTTTATACATATATTGAGGCAACGGCTTAAGGTTCATAACAATAAAGCTAAGTCCAAAACAACAAAAAAAACATTTCAAGACGTTCTTCTCGAAACTAAAAAAAAATAAGTGTGAGAACAATAACGGTGATTTTCAGTTAATATAGTCTTTGGCTTCATATATTAGGTCCTTACATATGAAATTGGCGTATTTCGTAGTGGCCACTTTAATCACGATGTTCTCCTCTTTGGTAAGGAATTCCAAATTCAAATTTGTACAGCTATTTACTCATGTATTTGTGCTTCGATGACCGTCATTCATTTGTTTTTTTCTGTTTGCGTCACTCATTTTACAAAATGGAAAACTTATAGTATCGCATTATTTACGAGTACGAGTTCCGCCGTGGCACTAGTGCTACGGAAATGACTCGAAGGGTGAATGATTTGTATGGCGATCATGTTGCAAAAGAAAACACAGTTTGTTTTTGGTTCCAACGTTTTCATTCTGGAAATTTCGACCTGCAGTACAAGCCCCGTGGACGGCCGGAGACCCAAGTTGATAATGAAGTATTGAAGGCTATTGTGGAAGCGGATCCATCGCAAACCACGTCCGAGTTAGCTGCAGGCTGCGGTGTTAGTGATAAAACTGTTTTAATTCACTTGAAGCAAATTTGGAAGATTAAAAAGGTTTAAAGATGGGTACCTCACGAATTGACTGAAGCAAACCGGCAAACGCGCGTCGACTGCTGCGTTACATTACTGAACCGGCACAATAATGAAGGTATTTTAAACCGAATCATTACCTGTGATGAAAAATGGATTCTTTACGATAATCGGAAGCGCTCAGCGCAATGGTTGGATCCTGGCCAGCCAGCCAAATCCTGCCCCAAGCAAAAATTAACCCCAAAAAAGTTACTTGTAAGCGTTTGTTGGACAAAAAACAACCCTAGTGCCGGTATTGTTCATTGCAGTTTTCTTGCAGCATCTGGCCAGACTATTACGGCTGATGTCTATTGTCAGCAATTGCAAACCATGATGGAAAAGCTAGCGGCTAAACAACCTAGGCTGGTCAATCGCTCCACGCCACTGCTACTTCACGACAACGCTAGACCACACACTGCACAACATACGGCTACCAAATTAGAAGAGCTTCAATTGGAATGTCTAAGACATCGTCCGTACTCCCCGGACCTTGCTCTAACAGATTACCATTTTTTTCGAAATTTGGACAACTTCTTGCAAGGGAAAAAATTTAACTCTGATGGGGCAGTCCATATCGCCTTCACAGATTTTATTGATTCCCGTCCGACTGGTTTTTTTAGTAAAGGGATCAATGAACTACCTATGAGATGGCAAAAGTGCATAGAAAACAATGGTTCATACTTTGATTAATTAAATATATTATATTTAAAAATATTCGACTTTTTGTTCCTCCCATACAAAACGCCAATTTCATATGTAAGGACCTAATATTATAGCACAACTAATGAGTCTTAAGTACGTGTGTCAAACATGTATTTTAATGTAAGAACACCGTTTTTACCTAATATGACCTACACATATAAGTGCAAGTTCGTGTAACGTTAATGCAGAGGCCTAGTAAAATGTTATTTTCAATATATTATACATATAAATCATAAAATAAATTAAAAATATAAAAAGTGTGCGTAGGCCGGGAATCGAACCCGGATCAACTGCTTGGAAGGCAACTATGCTGACCATTACACCACCAACGCCTTGAACATTAATGCGAAATCAAAATACATATATTTTATAGCGTTAAACCAAATTTTGTTTATATTTATTTTCTTTATTTGTTTATTGTTATAGTAATAAAAAAGGATACGATTGGGACTTTATTTAATTCATCCCGATAATTTTTCCATAGAATCAGTTATGTGTAATTTATTATGGCTTTCTACTCTATCGCGACTATAAAATGCCGTATTATATTGTATTATACTATTTCGCAGGAAAAATTTCTTTATGTTCTTAATTCTGGTTTTTCCCAATATGTATTATTAATTTTACCGATACGTTTAAAAATTATAGCATAAATGGTATTTGAGTTATGTATATGGTAAATTAAATTCAAATATATTAAAATGGCCCATACTATGGTGTTAGTAGGTCATAGTTACACCATAATATATACTATCAAACTTTTAGGCAAATATTTACCTAAAATTCCGTTTCTACATTAAACACTAATAATTTGTGAATATGTTCATTACGAACACAGATACAGTTTGATGAAAAAATCGATATGTTTACATAAAAATATTAAAAAAAAAACATTTTGATAACGCAAATACTGAACGGTCGTTTTTCTCATTAGATTTTTAATGACAATATACGTGAAATACTTATTCGTCAACATTCTAGGCATGTGTAATTTACCCAATCAAAGTATTAGCTCATTTTATTTTTACAATAAAGCAAATATTGACTTTTAACTCAATTGCAGAATGTATACGACCTTCTCACAAGTAGGTACTTACTTTAAAGAACACTTGTAATGAAACAAGTATTTTCAAAATGTTTTATTTTTAAATAACTATGCTCGTCACAGCCGTTCGCGTAGTGCTTCGAAGAAATATTTATAAAGGTAAAACTGATTTAAATACATTCAATGATTTTTCCTTAGATTTATTCGCTTACACTGTAAATATACATGTAATTTGAAAAAATATACTTCGGAAACGAAAATGTCTTGCATGGTTTACCGCTTGTATATTGAGAGCTAATATGCGAAAAAACATGTCTTAGAGTATATCTTACTGTTGAGATACTAAAGCTTCAAATAAATGTAGATAAACAATTATTTTTTAAAGGATTGTCTACTACGTATCTCAAAATTATTTAATACAAAGATAATTAATGCGTAGCGTGTTTTCTGTTTACGTTTCGAAGGCTGTAAACACGTACAATAGTTTCACTGTCCAGTCAGCAGCCTCCCATTGAAGTGATTGGTTGCCCCAATTGTTGTTCACGGTGAGTTCATCGGAAATTAGAAATCACTTTCATTTTAAATTTGGAATTATATAATTATTTTTTTAGATGAGTATGAGTAAAGATGTGGCATTCATCAAGGAGTGGATGGCGAAGGAAGCTTATCTACCTCACGATATTGGTAAGTATATTTGTCATAATTTAAAAAAAAAACACTTAACCGGGTTTAAATTAATTACAACAAAGACGGGACACATTAATTTCAATTCATGATAATTTTTTAGTTGTGTTGGTCCGTTAAAAGATGTCTAATTACAAATCTAGATCCGCTTTCAAATTTTAATTTCGCGGTGATTTATTAGATATAGATTATTACTAACACGCAAGCATCTAGCTACTTTCGGTAGCTTAGTATTTATTGCACTTTTTGGAGTTCTTCCACCGACTTCAGATGAAGCATTAACTGTTTCGAGTTGTTATGTAGGCTGATCATCTACTTGATATAATAAAATCAATATAGCCAAGATATACTCCTTCAGGACTTCAATGCGGCCTTCGAGATGATTTTACCTGGTTCGTAGTATTACCTCACATAAGTTGCATGTTCACCAAAGTCACTTAATAATTTGAAAGAACATTGACGTGGATAGGCATAGGAAAACACTTGTACATACATAAATTCTAAATGTGCGTTGGGCGGGAATCGAATTCAGATTCACTGCTTGGAAGTCTTTGCAAAAAAAAAATTTGCGAATATATAAAATGCAAGGTTTATCAAACCGAAATTTTTAATTATAAATACCAAATTTTAAAATGTGTTAACTGCTAATCTTAATCTAAATATGGGAACTGTAAAAATGTATTAACATTTGTGCAATTAATATCCTAGGTATATCTACAGAATACTTGAAAATCAGCAAAAGTCAGGGTCATTTAATTATCAAGTTAATTTAATCAAGGCTGAGAATATTTACACAGCGTAGGATAAATTCAATTCTGAATTCATATTTTCCTGCCTTTAAAACAAATAATGTGTTCTAAAAAGTTCGCATCGAATTGATAACCTCCTTCTTCGGTTTTATAACATTATATTATTCTCTATTTCTCTCTATATCTATCAATATTTAATGATTTTAATGCATATTTTCGATTCTGATTGATTCGATTTTTTGTCCGTATAGAATTACACAATTCACTTATTTTTATTTATTGTATAAGAACTAGACTATTTAATAAAGATTTTTAGATACATTATTTCTTAACAAACGCTTTACAAACTATAGCATAGAATCCTTATTAATAAAGTAGTAAGTTAAAAGATTACAATCATATTATTACAATGTATGAACAAAAAATAAATTACGACTTCGCACACCGGCACACATAATTATAATAATGATTACCTTGATGATGCGATAAAATGCATACATGAAATCGCTAAACACAAGTTTCTGAAATGAATAATTAAATAGAAAACCGTGAATTATGAAGGATTCGTAGGTGCCAATATATTAAGTTAATAATATTTAAAAAATGTTGCAGTTAAATACGGTTAAAAGTAGTCTATAGTAAGAATTATAGCGGATTAAAAGGCGTTTGCGATGCGATTTTGTTTTACAAGCATGAGTTTTTATAAGAATAATAAATACTGTTAATAATAATTAATAGTTTATTATCAAAGAAAGTGGTACATTTAGATTAATGAATTATTAAAAAAACCGCACAATCAGCTATATAAAAATAGCCATGCAAATGTCATATTAATTATCATAATGTCGTAATAATAAGAACAGTTAAGTTATTTACAATTGTTGTCAAAACTTATGGACATTCAAGAAATGAGTCCATAAGTTACATACACGGCAGTGTTTTATAACTTCTGGGTAGGTTATTAAATACTTTCATAGCCTTTGCGAAATATAAAAACAAAAACTACAGGAGAATAAGGTGTTAAATGTTATAAATAGCGACTGCCGTTTCCAGAAAATCTGCGAAATATATTGATTAAGAAAAACCCATGGACTGTCGTACTGTTTTTATTGTACGACATATAATAAGTGCGACAAATGGTGCCATGAGTTGTTTGAATTAAGAAGAAATATGTCAGGATAAACATTGGAAAAACGCAAAACGTAGTAACGCCAAAAAGTGAAACGGGTGAAGCACATACATAACAGCTAATAACATCATAGTACCGACTCTAGCTATTGTTTTTGTATCCTTCTAAATAAGTGTGAGAGCAATTCAGTCTTGCCAACAATTGTCTTTGGTTTTGCAATAGAGCGCCGTTGCTTGAACTATGTCTACGATTATGCATTGATCTAATACTCGATTTTAATTTTAACGACAAACGATGACAATATGCAAGAATAAGATGTTTTAAATAAATTTAGATGGATCGAAAATCATATGCGGTTTACCAGAACAATACGACTTAGGGTTTGTCAAGATAAGCGCGTACCGATTCTTAAAAGGCAACTTGCGAGCCTTTTGGCAATGTAGTAGAGCATCCATGGGCAGTGGTATCACTTAACATCAGGTGAGCCTCCTGCCTAGTTGCCTCCTAAACTATAAATAATAATACGCTCTGTACTAGTCTTACATACATTTACTAATAATCTTAAAAAAACATTTTCTCAACCTTTCCTATGTTGAAACAGAAAATATTCTTACTGTGCAACAATAGTAGTATAAAATATGTTATGAAGAAATAATTGTCAAGTACTGTTAACATATCAAAAATAAGAGACTGGCTGCCCTTCACACAGACACAGGGAATCCTTGTGTGGAACTAGTGCACTTTATTTTACCTAAATATCCCTTTTATTGTGTATAATAAAGCTTTTTTCTTTTCTTTACTAGTCTACCTCTAAGCATTTTAGTACTTAATAAATGTTCCAGATGACATGCTGATACAGAAGTTTTTGCACAGCTGCTATGGAAGTCTGGAAAAAACAAAGAAATGCATCGACCGCTTTTGCTCCACACGCAGTCAATTGTCAGAATTATACACTAATCGCGACCCGCAGTCTGACAGCATAAAGACTATTTTCTCTGTGACGTAAGTGATATTCATGATTGTGCGATAAGGGTTTTACTTAACCAATATGTTTATTTATATTTATTACTATCTGTTTATGTATAGTAGGGCATATCTTAGGTATTGACTTTCCGTAGTGAAAGTTCCTAACTTTTAAGAGCCAAAGAAAAAAGACTGATAAACCTCTCCAAATAGAATTTGCCTATGCAACTTAACTATTTTTAACAAATTAGTTCAGGTTTTAGCAATGAAATTTTGTCCTTTCTAGACCTCGAAAACTTGTAGTAAATTACGGGTAGGTACACTAAACCCATTTTATATCAAATTTAAATTAGTAACCTATTTTAAATTTGATGTAAAATGCGACTGAAATCGGAAGTGGAAATTTTTAATATATTACTTATTTAGAAAAATTTAGAAAAAACTTAAACTTAGGCTAAGTTTAAGTTTTTTCGATTCTAAAACATACCGTTCTCATTATGTTTCTTCATCGCACGAGCAAGTGTTAATTGTGCGTATAGGTTGTCCATTGGTGCCTGTGTGAGATACACCGGTTTCCTCACAATTTTTCATTCACTATAAGTGTTAATTGCGCACATAAAATCTATTGGAAATGACGGACGGATTGCCAGCCCTGAGGTAGAGGATTGGGTCTTACCTTATCACTGACCTCAAAATACGTGCCGAGGGCTATAAATCTAATATCCGAATATGTTTTAATAACAATTAATTATATTTCACTATACATTTTTTATGTATGATTATTATTTCTTATAAAAGAATGTTTGCTTGCTTTATCTGCTGCAGTATTTTATTTAAATTATATTATGTTTTCATGAGCTAAAGCAGGAAAACAATAGATGATACTTTTATATAAGTAATTACGTCTTTCCATTTATATTCGATTGACAATACATAATACATATTTATAGCAAGCATTAAAATCAATCACAAAGTGTCCAACTTATCAGTAACGTTAAAGCAGTTTTGTCGAGCTTTAAAAAATAATTCACGACGAAAACTTCTGTATTTATCTGTTAAAAATATTAAATAATATTCACATGTATTAATTTACAAGATTTAAGGTATACGGACTATGTCAGACAATTAAACTTAATTTACTGAAATCGACCTTAGAATGTACATTTCCTTAGATACCCGTTTTGCAAATGAATTTAGTTGATTCTATAGAAAGAAGCTACCAATTAAAATAACCCGTTGGATGACACAATTTTTTAAGTTATAACTACAAATACTTTCACCATCTTTATATATCACAAAGAACTGAAAGTAGCCAGCTTTTGTTGAGCCATTTTCAAACTAAACAATGATTAGAAAAAAGGTTTTTTATTTGCGTTAGTGATCGAGTTGAACGTGATGAAAAGCACTTTACGTTCTTCAAGAGTTAACGGGTACCCAATACAATTTAATGATTCACTACCAATGGCTAAAAATACATTTTAATTCTTACTAATAAATCTTTAGATTTCGTAGCGTTGTACTTCCTTGGATACATAAATCTTTTTTTAGAGATTTTGTCCTGTGGACGTTGTCTGTCTTAACATCATCAAACAGCGCGTCTCAATAAAAATATTAAATTTTTATATTCCATTATTATTTATAAATGTTCCGTTGGAAGTCTCCATAACTTTTTTTATTCATAGAACCTTCTAACAATAATAAACACAACAAATAATTCGCGAAATTATTTAATATTAAATATAAAACTGAGATTAATTTTATTAATGTATATTTATACATATATATATAATTAAATTGCCGAGTTTCACTACGGATTAATTATCTATGTAATTGACACCAGTATTTGATTACAGCTTCAAATGTTTATTTGAAATTAAAAAAAAAATATTATTACTTAAACCTTCAAATTGTATCTAATAGTTTGACTAAACTTATGTACGACAAGACAGATATTACGTTCTCTATGTTACGTAATATACGTATAAATAGTATTGAGTCAATTGTAATTAAAGCTATATTAATTTTATAATTTTGAATACTCTTATTCTTCTGAAATGTTTTTAATGAATTAAGAACAACACTGTAGCATTAGTTTCAGCTGTAAATATAAGCGTATGGTTTTATAAATATTAATTGAATTTTTGTCAGCATTTTACCCGTCTCTTGGCGAAGGACACCCAAAAATCTCGATGATCCACGGATATAAACTTACCCAAATTTCTTTATTACAGTCGCGTGTGTACATACAAAGCTGGGGATGATGAAATCCTCATCCATCACTATGATGACCCGGAGTTCGAGCACTTCGCCTTCTATGATCTTTTAAAGACCCTCACCGTCCAAGCTGATTATTGGATTAACTTCCACAATGTCTTTCCTAGAGGACACATAGTAATTCTGGACATGTCGTGTTTCACATTAAAGATGGTACCAAAGTCGAATATTATGTACTTCAGGGATTTTATTCTCTTTCTTTTGGTAAGTTCAAAAATCATGTCAATCTAACACACGTAAAAATGTATTGGAAATATTAAAATATATTCAATTTGTGGAGTTAAAAAAGGTAATATTACATTAATGTTTATTTTAATGTATAATTTAAACATTTTAAAGTATCTCTTCAAGTTAAATTAGCTCCGGATAGAAACTATTTTTAATGCCTTAATACCTCTTGTACGTATTTCTAATCTATACTGTTATTGTAATTATACAATTAATTGCAATAGATTACAAATTAAAGTAGTGTATTGTATAGTGTAAGAATACTTTTGTATTTTTAAGTAACGTAAGTAACACTAAAAATGTAAATTTTATTTATTGACTAAATCCTGTCTTAATAAAGGAATAATCAAACAAAGAAAATGTTATATAATAACCACTTTAAAATATTTACAAAAAACAAACAGTTATTTTATTACTTAAGCATTTTGTGCGTACACTCGTCGGTTCAGATCGACGAGTGTATGCATAGAATGTTTCATGGGTTTTTATGTTTAGCTTTTTAATAATAATATACTAACACTAGTCCGTAAGTTTATACTAACATAATGATGGATTATTTTATCTGAACAAATAATAATAATTACCAATCGTTTGTTTTTCAGGAAGGAATGCCAGTTCGAGTACATAAAGTATACGGAATAAATGCACCGTCATACTACGACAAATTATACTCTCTCGTGAAGCCTGTACTGCCAGCTGAACTATGCAACATTGTAAGTATATATTTAAAGATATTATTAATATGTATATTTTAGTTATTATATTATATTTTTTAAGGTTATTAAATGGAATGAAATGTTTACATTTCATTCCATCCTTATTTATCTGTACTGAGTAATTAATGTTTTTTTTAAACTCTGTTTTTATTTTTAACTTTTAATAGGTGTGTTTTATTCGACGCATATAAATATTTTAATACAATTCGTTTGAGCTGAACAATTTGCTATATTTAGAATTTAAAACGAAAGAACCGGATGATAAACCTTAATAATGACCATTTAATTGGGCAATCAGTTAGGTCAACTTGATTTAATCTACCTGTATGTGTTTGGAGAGACCTTAAAAGGTGAAGATAATCTGTTGATTATTTTTTAATTATAATTAGTGAATTATATTAAAATTAGTGTGTTTGTCCTTAAAAGATTTTTCTATTTGTGCAATAAACACTTGTTTGTAGTGAAGGAAAACATAGTATGTATATCGACGTGGCCACTAACATCGACTCTTTTTCGCACTCCTCTACAGTTTCATTTAAAAATAATTAAAAACAACTATTAATGTCCTAATCCTTGTATCTTTCTTCTTTATTATAACTAATAATGCTAACCAGTATGTTTGTCGTTCTCCGGACTGTTGTGCTGTTATGTTTTGTTTCGCTTTGTTCTGTATCATATTTTTTATCACTGAAACTTTTTGTGGATACATCCAATGTGCTTATTTTATGTTTTAAGTTTAAAGATTGATTAGACGCTTAAATGTGTATATATTAACATAATTATATTTTTATTATTAACAATATTTTTAATTCGATTTAACATCATCTAATTAATCCTAAATAAAATATACTTTATTTTTATTTTTTATTTTTTTTATTGTATAGAGATGTATCTGTTATGTTTTCCAAATAAATAAATAAATGACAACCCAAAAATGGACAACAATCTGGTGTTGATGGCTGATCAGTTTTTATAGAAAGATAACATTTAAACAAAATGTAGAATACGTACAATTATACTTCATAGGTATTAAACTGCAAAGTTAATAATCCTTTATATTAATGATTAATAAATCACCAATCGCGCTTCAATCCCTGGCGTTAGCTACAGATTTCCGTATTTGTATCTAGATATTCTTTTTCTAATAGGCAAGTAGAAGCAAATATATGTAAATAGTATAGAAAAATCACATCTCAGGACACCATTCCACCTACCTAAGACGGGGCACTTACCGTGTCGGTTTGAAGTAAGTAATAAAAAAGATTGATGTTAAATATTGGGGACTGACGTTTTTCTGAGCATCTCAACCTCGACTCTCGAGGCATTTGCTTCCCCAGTTGATAGAGATTAAGTCAATTGCAATTCTTATCTTCAGTACATTGACTATATTAAAGTTTTAATTAATAAAATGCGGTCTTTATAAAAGTTTAATATACTCATTATACGCATTAGGGATTCTTTCGGGAGTTAAAATCCGGAAATACTTTTAGTTCTTATATTTTGTAAACATTGTAATAGTTTTAATATTATATTTTACCAGATCCACTTCTTCCACGACTACGAATCTTTACATAAGCACATTGATAAGAAATATTTGCCGGTCGAGTACGGAGGTGACGCACCCAGCACGAAAACTGAGAATCAAGATTGGATTAAAAGAATCAATGAGCAGAGGTATGTAAATAATATATTATTTTGAAACATATAGCAGGGGGCAAATGGAGGATCATCTGGTATTAAGTGATAGTGCCCATGGACACTCACATTGCAAGAAAGATCGCTAGTGCGTTGCCGGCCATTAACTGATGTAACCACTGATTTTTTCCTTACTAGGGTTGCCTGGAAGAGATCGCTTTTTAGCGATAAGGCCGCTCGTTGCATCCTTATGATTTTTATGTGTTATATTATTTTTAAGTTTTAAGGGTAAAAAACGGTTTATCTCGATTTCCGGCAAAACTAAAAGTCCTATGGAAAAAAGTCAAATGGCAAAGTTGTAGGTAATAAAAAGATCTAAAACTTTTGTATTTACACATTTTTCACATAACCTCAAAACTTATGTGAAAAATTCAAAAAAATAAGTTTTTGGTTTTTAATTTTTATCTTTAACAAAATTTATTTTTTTCCCACGAAATTTTGTGAAAACTTACCTTTTTATGTCTTTAATACGCTGTAATTTATTTGATTTCAAATAATAATTTTTTCACCTTATTTTGATTAATATCGAAAAAGCACCCTTATTTTCAATCGAAAATTCACCCGTCAAAATATCAGCTTTTTTTAAAAAGTTGGTGTGTTTTCAGTTCGTTGAAATCTCTACTTTCCTATGGCAAAAATAATATATATATATATATTACTATAGTAAATCTTCTCAGAAAATGCAAAAAATCGTATGCAGTAACGCCCAGACCCGTCATCCCCTTCCTACTTCTCTATGAAATATTAATAATATTTCTTTTGGGAATAACTAAATAGTAGAGTGGGATTTCATAATTAATACTAGGGCCAGGCACAATTTTATCAAAGTTATGGTTAGATAACTGAAGCATGAATTATGCCATAGACACAAGATCAAAGATTTTTACGTCAAATTTGCAAATGCCGTTAATTAGAGAAAGTACCGAGACTTAGCGTTTAATTCATATATTTGCGTTATAAATTAAATTCTCGAAACATTGTATTTTTAGAAAAATGTTCCTGGATGACAATTTATGGAAAGCTGACCTCAAAATGCGACCGAAGAGCGACTGCAACGCGATGAATGGCTCATTTAGGACACTTTCCATAGATTAATTTATTTAGAATTATTGTAATTTGTATTACAAAATACCTTAATTATACCACTTTTACTACTCAAACCTTGTATTATTCATGTTCAAATAGACTTCGAACATCGTTATTTCTTTATGCGTTTGAAGAAATAATTTTATTAAAATTAAATAAGACACGAACTTATTTTAGTTATTCAAAAGAGAAGATTTTAAAACAAAAGAACAATCAATGACAATCACTTCTGTCATACACGTTAATCATTTTGTATAAATTTACAATTTGAAAAGTTTTAAATTAAAAGTAATAACAAATTACATGTATAAAAATAGCTCAGTGAAAAATCAAGATTTCGAGTTTCATGAAGAAATTTTTAGGCATGGATGAACAGCCTGGAACAAGTAAGAACCTGACTGATAGAAATGATCCAGACGAGGAGAGTATTCCTACTCACGATCAGAGGACCTACAGTGGAACAGATATATCCAATTATTCAAGTAAGACTCAAATACACGTGGCATCTACAGGCATTGAAAAGCCAAAGAAACCGAGCAAGCCCGAAGGCAAATTTAATGAGAAAAGACGTAAGAAACGACGCACAGACAGAGTCGAGAAACAAAGAAAACCGCCCGCAAGACGACTCATGACCAAACGAACGCCTAGAAGAAAGCCCAGAGCTAGAATTGAAAAGAAAAGAGACTTTTCTGTCTCGACAATGTATTCACGACTCTCGTCCGGTGGTCTTCTAACGCCAGCTTGTGAGCGTTGCGGCCACCGATGTTGTCTTAGAAGGTAGCCCAGCCCGTATGTGGCATTTTTTCGTTTTAAATTTTTGTTTGGACATCTTGTTTTATCACATCTTTAGCAAAATTGTCAGGTATGGACGAAGAGTCAAGATTGGTAGGAAACGGAAGTTTCCAAAGAAACGTAAACAGAAGTTACAGATGAAGGTGTATAAGTCAGGTTTGTTATTATTTCCAATTTTGTCTTTTGAACTGATAAAAAATTAGTCCATTGACGGTAATAGATGCTTTTGTGGTTCAGAGTCGAGACTTAGCATGAACTAACGACTGAATCTTTTCCTAGAATTTAATTAAATGGGCTAATTAAGTATTTAATTTCACTAGATCGCGTGTTGGTTAGTTAAAATAATTTTGCATTTAATTATTTGAAATCTAATAGTCGTTTTATCCTTAAATTTTAGAGAATATTCAAGTTGGATCCTGCAGTAAAATGTTGTCGCCGTTGAATGTAAATTTTAATGCAGTTGAGGTAGAAGAAGCTCCCACTGGCACTTACAGAGAAGTAATTTGCATGTTACCATGTCTTAAATAATAAGAGCTAAGCAGACTGACTCACGGCTTCTATTGAATAATTATTGCACACCAATACAAGTTCATCTATCCTTTCTGTATTGACGTAACAAGTACTTAATGAAACTATAGTAAATTTCGGCCTCAGGTCAACTATCGTATATTTAATCATGATCAGAAACAATACTGTATCAACTGTTTAGAACAGTATAAAAGTTTTTTATGACTGTTAACAATTCGAATGCTTTAATTTTACATACCTATCCGTAGATTACTCCAGAAATGATACACGAGGCTCTTAGAAGATTAACTATGTGGAGGCAAAATGTTGAAACGTGTGCAATATATGACTTTATTCAAGTGAGTTACAACTTTAATAAAGTTACTTGTTATCGACCGTGTAACTATTTCTATACTAATGAACGTATTTTTATCCGAAGCCGGACCTTTAAAATAGTTTAGGACTTGCGTAGAAGGGCTGCAACCGATAAACATGCGTCTTGGTATAAACTGTACACGCAATAACAAATAATTCTGCTCCATTCCTTTAATGGAAGTGGAAAATCCATTTGGCATCTAACGTGCCGGGAACTATAATTGTGTGGCCAGAAACATGTTATCTAACATTATTTCTAGTGATGTATGTTTTACGTTATATCCTAATCAAAACTTTTAGAGAAATTACCCAGTAAATCAGGATGAGGAAGCATTGGCTGTAGAACTTTGGGAAAAACTCGAAGTAGCCGTTTTAGTCGGTAAGTTGAAAACAATTTTGTTTTCAATCACTTCTAATCATCTATCAGAAAATTTAAATACTATTAGCATTCTTATCACGAGCTAGGTATAGTTGCTTCCCTCACACTTTGAAACCGATTTTCACTCTCGTCTGTATGTTCTTCTTGTACCAATGTCTCAGTGTGCCGTGCGTTGGCAGGCTTTTATCAATAAATCATGGATAATATGTATAAAAATTAATTACAGAATAATAATAATAATTTATAAGGAATACTTGAGCGCACTGTAGATATATCTTCAAATATTTAGGAATTGCAACACAAACATCAATCGACACTTGGACTTTATGTAGTGCTTTGGAACGGCCAGACTTTAATGACACACATGTCACCTTATTCTGGAAGGTCTACAGGGATACCATGACTCCACTACATAAGCCAAATAAGGTATTTCGTCTTCACTCATTACAACCTGTAGGCTTACCCTGTAGGCCATAAACTCGATAACGATTTAAATTTTAAAGTGGAGTTTTAGTTTATTCATCTGTACGGATATTGAAAGAACTCAAGGGTGTTCGGATCGGACGTCACAATTATTGAAATTGGAACTTATGCCAATTTGAACCAATTATCAAATCAATCCCGGTAATTGTAATAATAAGTGGTCATGCTTCTACTAAAGAATTAAAAAGCGTTGAATTCGAATAATTATTTGTTTAATGTAGAAAAATATTAAGCTATTTTTTTCAGACAATGGATACTTCGAAAGATACAAGTGAGAAGCAAACACTACGTGTTTACGATGTCGATGTATTGTGATTTTTTATTTATTAAACTTTGTAAGGGAACGTGTCCCATGAAAAAATGTTTTTCAGATATTAAACCAAAAAGCACAATTAACCATTATTTAATTACTAATAAAAATAAACAGAATTAGGGTCTGTTTCACAATGTATGGATAAAGTACCAAATAGCTATGCAACACATAAATTACTTGGAAGATAAATTGTGCTATTTGACATTCATCGGACTCATAACTTATGATGGACTTTATGTGACGAATAGCGCTATCTGACAGTCGTGAAACGCAACAATATTGTTTATCCTAACAATAAGTAATAAATAGCTAATTTGGAACTTATGTAGAACTTATCCGTACATTGTGAAACAGACCCTTAAAAAATAAAATCCTTATTCTCAAATGTCAGCCTTGCGATTCTGTAATTCACTTTTCGAACTCACACAACGGTTTCCAAAGCCGCGGTCGCGCTCAAATCAGTCGTAAAGCAGTCATTTTATGATTCGAAGTCGTAGTTTATTGTTGAGTTTGAAAAGTGAGTTACAGAATCAGATATGAATATTTTCTAGGCTTTAAATATTATAAGCACCTTAAATAAAGATTAGAGTAGACATTCCACAAAAAGTTATAAAATATAATATAAAAACAATTCCCTTAATGTAAATATGTTTTAAATTAACAGTTTTCTTTATCCCAAAATATAGTGACTCTCGTATACATTTACTGAATATATGTTTTTACAACATAACATATTTTCATAATTTTGGAAGGCAATAAGTTTGATTCATATTTAGTATAGAAATACAGTAGTTGTTCTACAAACAGCTCATATGTATTTTGTTTCCCTTTATTTATAATATTTATTCTTAAAGTTTGCTGTCTTATCAATGGGGAGTCTATAACCGATTCCGATTTCAATATCGATTCCAAGTAATGCGAAGTATTTACATCAGGGCTAGAGAAACTACTACATCGAAATTTAGATTATGTCAAGACTTTATAATTATCATATTACTATGGAATCGGTTTGCTAGGAGTGTTAATTGCGGAGAGCTGTTGGAAATCGGTATCGGTTATAGAATAGCCCTGCTGTTTTCTAACGGCTAGTCAAGTGCGAGTGAACGGAATGATCCTGGCAAGTCTCTTAATTTTTCAATCTTCTCGTCGCGACAGTTTGCAGGCCTAAGGGACTCTTCAACAAACCAGTTCTTATCGTTTTCCAGGAACCAATTTCTGAAAGTGAAACTAGCTGTTAACTTAAGAAAATTATATATGATTGTATAACTGAGGTCACAGGTTTTGAGTATTATCAAAAATGGAAAACATTGTAGAGAAAAATTAAAAGCTTTTGAAATATACAAGGTTGGTTTTGGGCATACAATTTGAATAGGGCGAGTTAGAAGCGTTATTTTTATTTGACGAATATTAGCAATGCAAATGGCATTTATAGTTCAGTTCATAAATAATTGTAACATTATTAAATGCATTTAAATCCGGTGTACAACTCCTGTATAAGAGTTCGCAAAAATATCAATGAAACAGACGCGAAAACCCGTCTCTTTCCCAATTTGCGGGCCAGGAGTAAGCAAACGCATAGAATTTATGCAAATAATGATAAATATTACACAATTTTACCTTTTAGCCTCCATTCGTTTGATCCAATAACGTTTAATCTGATCGACACTCCCGCAGGCACCTCCGTACTCCTCAGGAAGAATATCTTTGGGGATATCCGTGTATAGGGTCTCTGTATTCGGCTCATGAAATTTGATCTGTAACATTTGTTTAAAAATGTTAACACAAACTCATAATCTCTCAAATTGTTCAACAAGAAACATGCAGACTAAACATTGATTTAATTATTGCTTGCCGTAACAAATTATCAATAATAATTATTATTATCTATTCGAGCTTCGATATAATATTTGTAACCTGGAATTTTAAAAGATAAAAGCTACTTGCGTTTGTGCATTTTTATCTTTAGTAGACTATGCAGAGAGAGAGAGAGGGAGAGAAAGACCGTAGGTTATTTTATTAGAAAAAAAATGAGAAACACTAAGTCCGCTACTTTTATATAGTTGAAGGGGTTTTATTCTTAAATCTTTGTCACGTTGAGCGAGTTGTTTATTTATGAAGTCAAATACAGTAATTGAAATACTAATATTTAATGACTACATTGATATGGTAGAGAAACCACAATATTAAAGAAGGAAACGACACATCGCGTAATTTTTTTATTTTGTCTTGGATATTTACGGTTTTTACCATTTTTATAAACGCGATCGCTATCCTCGTCGCTGTTGTATGCAAGATCTACCGCGTTACCGACTTAGCGCGAAGTATTACCTATATTTGCACATTGTTTTTACACGCTTTATATTTTTGTACTTGATTTCGCTCATCAATTGGTTTATGTCCTAAATTTGTGTTCCAAAAAAATATGTGTCCCGTTAAAATCCAATGCTCTTTTAACGTATGAAACCTATACCGTTAATCTAGTTTTTGAACGTTACCCATAAAGTATAATAAGAATGAAACAGATGCATTTCTACTTCATATAGTAATACTAAAAGGTCAAATATGACATACCAATTTAGCAACTTCGTTCTTGAGGAAAGGTTTGCAAAGCCCGAATATTTTTCCGATGTATGAAGGGCTGTTGATCACATGCACTTGCTTTAGCCTCACTGGAACGGCCTCCTGTAAATAGTATTACATTAAATATTATAATATATGCTATCCTATTATTTGAGCAGTGTTTGCCTAGTGAGATTAGCGCAGGACCCTTATCCCTGAGGGTGAAGGTTAGAACTCTGGCTGTGCACCAATGGACTATCCTTCATATGTGCTCATTTAACACTAGGTCATACGTCAAAGCAAAAAATCGTGAGGTAACCGGCATGTCTTGCGGCAAGCACAGAAGGCTGATCCTACTTGCCTATTAGTAATAAATATTACTAAACGCACATTTACTCACTATAATATCTCCAGGGTACATGGGCAGTTATAATGTTAAAGCAAATGAAAATCAGAATTGTTGTCCCCGGGAATCGAACATAGGACCTAAGCGTCATTCGCTAACTATGTAATTAATTAAATCTATTCATGTCAAAGATATTATATAAGTAGCGTAAAAACCCAACAAAAAATAATTACAAATAGATTCGATACCTACAAAAGTCAATTATAGATACGTAACATAAAAACTTTTATAGCAAAAACAATTACAGACTCGTAACAAAAAAACTTAATGCGCGTATAATTGATAATCTATAGCCGCTTTAAAAACTTAAATTGTTGAAAATGACTAATATTATTCATCGGAAGATTGCGGTAAAAAACTGAATTGTACATATTTTATTTTAATTTTACAAAAACCTTATGCTATGCATTGTACATATCGTCCTGGAAGTGTAAACAATTTTGGTTTTTTATTGATTTTAATAATTATGCACTTACTGTAAACGTTTTACGAAACAATATTATCTGTGCTTACATACGTATGTTATATGTAAAAGGTTTGAACCTTAAGTCGCAATTTCGGTTATGTAAATCCTTTTATGAAAGTGGCCTTCGACGCAAAACGTTTATGTTTCGCCAGTTCACGAGATACTTTTTATATGACATGACACGTGAGATGTATGAGAGACAGCTATAATGTGGCATTTTCATTGCGCGTGAATTTGATTAAATTATTTCACAAGTCTATTCCTATTGTTTATGCTTAACCAAAGATGAACTATTATAAAAAAGACAACGGCATTCCATAATCTGTGCAGGTTTTGAATCCATAAAGACAGATTTAATAAACAGAAAATCAATTTATGTAATAGCTTATAAAGATTATATCGCATGTCGTGGTAATTTAATGAGTTTATAGTTTTAATTTTAATTTAAATTTAATATTGATTTACTTAATCTTGCTTTAAATAGCGAAAATAAACTAGCGCCTGATTTTTCTTGAATTATTGCAAGTTTAAAGTATTGAGAAACATTCTTAATCAATTTGGACTTTAATTTAGGTTAATGTTTAAATGTTAAGTATATTTTAGCCCGCAAAGGCCGTTTTAAGCCTTTCTCTTTCAATAATAAATTTTCAACTCAAAGCGTCGGTTTGTCTTTGATAGCGAGACAGATTATAATGTAACTTTATATATGATTTTACTATGATATAATAAAAGACTTGCACTTCAATCTCATTGGAAGGGAACGAATTTTAAGCTTGTTATTAATGCAAACGTAACGGTTAGCGTCGGAAGAAATTACTTTTAATAGTTGCTCATATTCCTAAAGTACTTTTTGTAAAAAGGTGACATAAAGTTGCGACAAATTAAGGAATGCGCCGGTTACGCAATGAACTTTTAATTCAGTCACTTGCCATACATTAATTTATTAATATACAATTAAATAATAAATTATATAAAATTGAAAAACGACATCGCCACTTTTTTCCATTTAATTAAAATACTATCGGATCACATTTCCATAGATTTCCTATGGGAAATATATATAATAAATCTTCTTTACGTAAAAGACATTTTTAAAACAAAGAAGGTTTTCATGACATTAACTGCTGTCATACATTTCCTTATTATGTTATCATTATTTTATATTTTGTTATTTGCGCCGAAATTCACAATTTTATAAGCAATTAGATTAAAGATAATAACCAAAATTTTCAGTAAAAAATATCACAGTTTAAATTTTCAAAATTACGAGTTTTATCAAGAAGTTTTTAGGTATGGATGAACAACCCAGAACGAGTAAAGACCAGAGTAATAAAAATGACCCAGACGAGGAGAGTAGGTGCGATCAGACGACTAACAATGAAACACAATTATCCAATTATTCTAGTAAGAGTCGATTGGAAGTTGCGGCTATCGGCGTTGAAAAGACGAAGCCACCGAGCAAGCCCAAAGGTAAATTTGAGGAGAAAAAACTAACGAAACGGCGTACGGGCAGAGTCGAGAAACAAAGGAAACAGCCCACAAGACGACACATGACCAAAAGAACGTCTAGAAGAAAGACCAGAGCCAGATCTGAAAAGAAAAGAGTAAACTCTGTTTCCACAATATATTCGCGACTCTCGTCCAGTGGTCTTGAAACGCCAGCGTGTAAGCGTTGCGGTCACAGATTTTACCGAAGAATGTAATTTAGAAAAACTGTTTTGTTATGAATATAATTGTCAAATAAAATACAAATATTTTAATTTTCAAATTAACTTCATTTGACGCATCATTAAAATTGTGGGTTAACACTTAAAGCTACGTGTCAGGAGTTCATAGGCACAAATAATGACTTAGATCGAAAGTCAAGTAAAAAGTTTCAAAAGCATTGTGTATGTCTATGTAAGCTACGTAGCTTTGGGAATATAATACAGGGTTTGTATCCTAAAGCGTAGACTGACTGTTGAAATAGTTTTAGCTCTCGGTTAGATGCTAAAATGTTCCTAATACCTTATAACACTACTTACTTCAAGTAAATATACGAAAACATACCTGTGTGTACATCATATACTTTCTTAGCACAGATAGATTAACTTTTCCAACGAACTTTAGAGACACATTGGCGGCATCAAAAATCGGTATTTCCCCGGAAGGTATATCGTCTTCTTCAGTCAGACGCGTGTCTATTAACATGAAAAATGTTTTCACGGCATCCAGAAAGTTGAACATGTCCAAATCTGGTACCCTTAAACGGTAGATGAAGACGTTATAGTTATCCTTTGTCCTTTTCGGAAGAGGCAGCATATCACTGTAAAGAGATAATTCACTATAGACGAAAAATTACGTTACCTACGGTTTTATCAAGGTTAAAACACACATAAAAACGTATCACAATTTTGCAACTACATATTTAAAAAAAATCGTAGTCAATTTGTAATCATAATGAATGAAATCGATCTTATCAAAGGAAGAGCAGAACATTCAGAACATTAAGAAAATTTATTATTTAAATACATGTGACATTTTTAAATTCAAAGTAACATTTTTAAACGTTGAAGATACAGAGAAACGCTTTGTCTTAGGACGCTTTACACTGCTTATCTAAAACTATGTGAAAGCTATTTATGAAGTGAATTCCAGAACCTCGTGAGAAATAATATTCCAAACACCGTACGAGTACAATGGACAAGCGATACAAACCGATTCGTTCAATCCCAGCTTGTCAAAGATCTTGAACCAAATTTAATTTTACGTCCTAAAGTTACATAATAGGTTAAGGTTCAGTGTGGTATACTTGGAGTAAATGGTTACTTAAGGTTTTTAAATTTCAAAACTTTAACTATAAACTTCAATGCCCTATGGTGGTTATATTGGTTAATAAACTTTGGGTATATTGACAATCTATTTGTTATATCTACGATAAAGTTTATTTTTATTTTAAGGCAATATGTAAAGCGGTATACACTTGGATGAACTTATCTTAAAAATTAAATGAGAGATGGGAAAAGAAATATAAGAATTTTCATGCTCGGTAAGAGGCACGGTAAATTCCTAGCTTAGTAGGACAATAAACTGAATCTTAGATAACGCAGAGTAATAGCTATGTGGCGTACAGCCAATCTATGCAGGCAACTCGGTCTGAGTTAAGTCTAAGTATGCTGTATAAATTGTAGTATCAATTTAAACAAAATTACGGCAATTAGAAAGTGTAAACATCTGTCAAAATACGTATTGATGTCGTCCTTGAATCGCTTTAGTTCTTAGAAATCATGTCAACTATAATTAGCGAGTCACAAAAATAAATCAGCTACAATGTGAATAATGTGCTATGTGAATAAAATCGTATTTTATTTATGGATCTGGACGTTTAATTCAAATAAAGAAATGTGATAGAAACAATAGCAAAGGCTAATTGAAACTAGTTATTTAGTACAATAATAAAAGCAGGGGCAGTGGAGCAGCTTGGGTCTAGTGTGGCACCAATGGACTTTTTTTCTATGTGCGTGTGTAACTACTGTTACGGTAAAGGAATCGTGAGGAAACCAGCATGCCTTAGACCTAACAATTATAACAAACAAACGCCTTGTATGACAGGCACAGAAGGCTTATCAACTAATTGACACTTAAGAAAAAAATTATCCCGAAACATAAACGTAACAATGACGAAATTATAATACTGCCGTGACTTTTAAGGTAATTAAAAATGCAACGTGTTCGATTTTAAAAGTGAATATGGTAAAGTGGTAGGTAAGATATCGAAGTTATACCAAATGAACATCTTTTCTTTTCGTAAAAAGGCAAGCATCTCATACTCACTTGAAAGAGTCACTGCTTCAATGGGAATCGGATCAAGCCACTTCAGGGTATTTATCATATGAGTAAGGCCATGGGAGGTGTATAATTAAAGATATTTATCTTCTTACGTGACTTCGAAAACCTTCCTAATCTCAGGTGAGCACGGATCGCGTTTGCAGAAGAGATCTGGTGTTGACGAACGCATCGTGAAGAACAGGTCCATGGTTCTCTTGGCACGCTCCAGGCTTTTATGGCAACTGAGGTAGAAGCGATGTAGTAAGAAATCCTCTGAAAAAAATAAAAAAAACGATCTTATTTCAAACAATTATTTATTTAGTATTGTCTTTTATTGACCTAACTTTTACACATTTAAAGAAAACACTTTTTTTACCGGATTGAAGTGACCACGCACGCTGTAAAGCACGCGAAACGTCGGAAAATTTTATAATAATACGTAACTTCAATCCGGTAAAAAAGTGTTTTCTTTAAATTATTTATTTTATAACAGTTTATATAACTCGTAATTATAAAAAAAATTATAAAATGACTTATTTAGTTATAAAAATGTTTTAGTTTAGAATAAGAATAAAATTAGAGTACAGTAGAAGAGCAGAAATTATTTGAATATGCTTAATAATGTGCGAGAAATTATTACATTTCTTTAATCGTATATATATATCGAATATAATATAATTTATCGAAATACAAAAATAATCCAGAAAAAACGAGGAGTTTTGGCACCCATGAGAAATGTTAATGATTAACTTTTTATATTCATAGTAACAATAAAAGCCTTTTTTGTCAGATACTTTATATTTTTTTATTATTAATTTATATTTCTATAATCTCATTCTTTTAAAATATCTGTGTTTCCCCTTTTTTGGCAAAGGCCTTCCTCCAAATCCCGCCATTCCTGACTGCACTGTGCCTATCCTTAATCTGGTCTATCCACCTTCTAAATTTTCTTCCTCTTTTGCATTTATTGTAACTTGGGCACCAGTTTAATACTCTCTTGCTCCACTTTTATGTTCCTATTGCCATTTCCACTTAAATTTTTATATTATAACACTTTACTTACTTACTTTCATTGATATTTAAACGGTTTCTACCTCTTGAAGACCCTCTACCGAAGAGAGGTTTTGCCTACATTTTATCGGGGGGTAACCATCGGGAGGCTGTGTAGGATTGACAGTAAAGTAGAGCTAAAAACCTCAACGCCGAACCGTGGCAATAATTCGCGAAAATCTCGTGATAAAGGTGAAATCAAAAGTAAAAGCTAAAGTTACGAATGTCCATTAACCTTTAAGAGATAGTCAATTGTAACCGACATGCGAAATATGGCATGTCCAAGTGTTAAATACAACTAAGTACCTACTCAATTTACTGCTGAAATAAAAATATGTAAAGTGTGCGATTGAGTTTTTGTTATGAGAAATCGGTGCCTTTGCCCAAGTTTATATCTTCGCTTAACTTCAATTTCTAGCGATTAGCATGTTCGACTGCAGATCGATGAGGTTTTGGGTTTAAATCCAGATATCCAACAGTACGACAGAAAATATTTTATACGAAATTTTGTTTACTAACTTCGTTCAAAAATGCCTCTATTTAGGTGGGTTAGCTACCTTATTAAGGAAAATAAACAGAAACGACTCTTGCGCAGCTAGCCGGTCACTATACGTATTATGTCATGCATAGTATCTCCATAAATGTCTACATGTTACAGATCCTGCGTGTTGGCACGCACGTATATAAACGACACGTAGATAAAATCTTAGTACAATTATGTTAACAAGGACAGCTTTTTATTTTATGTAGTTAAAAATTTTACTTTTGACCTTTATAACTACCAAGCTTTTAAAAGAATAACTGTTTATTATTTTTGTTTCTATAACTACCATGAAAGTCTAGTTAAAATCTTATCTATACAAGTTCTGTCCATATATTTTTTGTTTTATTAAGTTTAAAAGTACTAGTTGTGTTCACGTAAACGCACGTTGGGCTATTCCATGTATCTGTGGCAAGGTTAAATCTTCAATGTTCAAGGTAAGATTTCACTTATTCCAAAGAATATACACAATGAGGCGTTTTATTTGCTGGCTTAGTTACGGTCAGAGTAGCTTATTATCTCTAATTATATACATACAATAGAATATATCCACCATTGTTTATATATATGTATGAACAAAGACCGATCCAACAGATTTGTAAAGTTTAATGTTTACGCTGTGACGAGAAAAATATTTTTAAAGTGAAACTCGTCTCAAACTTTTTCGTCTGTGTGATGCATGTCGCGTGACGGTCGGCCGCGGAGTAGGGATAAAGTGAAAGGCGCTCGTCATAGCAGCCAAAGCCAATATGGTGGCGCCTATAGTTCACATCAGCTGACCGTGTAGTGTATAGACTATTATTTAATATGTATGTCGTACTCTCTATGACAAGCGATTTTTATACCCTTAATGGAATACTATTCCAAATTTTTTTAGTTTAATGTCTATAATGTGAAAAAAAGTTTCAATTTTACCGTGGTTTCATAAAACCACACAATCCTTTTTTTTAAATAATTGGCTTATTATTTGTGATATCAAACTTACCGACATCATGTGGTAAGTGAGGCTGCTTGTTCAACCAATCCCTCAAGGGAACTATTTCTTGAGTCCATGCTAACTCTTGGTCTGGCATTATCCTGAAAAATATCTCTTAAGGTCAATATTATGTTGAATGTAATTGTGAAATAATGAATAATACAATTCGGATAAAAATTATGTGTACACATATGTATAACATTTATAATATATGTATAAACAGGTTACAGTGGGACTATAAATAGTACTCAATGTTTAGTACCGAATACTAATGAGAAGTTTTTGTTACTTTTGTTATTCAAAAGTTTTTGCGTCAGTTACTGTTATGTATATATTTAGTTATAGTGTGATGTGTTTAGTTATAAATGAATTGTCTCAGTTCCCATAATTTAAATTTAATTATAATCATTAGTCTTAGTAGTTAAGTTGTAAATTTGTTCGACATCCTAGTAGACCGAAAAACTTTGTTTTGTTTCTGTTCCACCACACTATTGAGAACCTTTTTTTTATTTTGTAAATATTAAATCAAGCACTGAGTGCTGTGTGGTGCGTTTTTAATGTTCAAACAATTATATTAAGAATTAATACTTCCATTTGGAATAGTTTGGAAACGACATGTAGTTGTTAGACATTATAAACTGAAATGGGCCAAAAGTCACGTTTAAATAAAACTTTTTTAAGGGATAATAACGCGTTTTCGTAATCGTACTCTATTTTATATTCGTCACATAAAACTTTATTTAAATAAATAGTGCACTTGCGTACAAATATTCTGATTCATATAATAGATACATATATATTCACAATATTTAGGATAAAACAATGTGTATATCATAATATAATAATCTTTGAATAAGTAAAAACACTGCATAAAATGAAGAGAACTTTCGAAAAAGCTTAAAAACATAAAGAGAAAGTTTAAATTTCGAAAGTTACAGTTATTAAGTATAATATTATGTATAAAATACTTATATACAGATAATATATCGTCTTACTACTAATTAAGTTTATTCAGGGTTATCATAAAAGTATGTCTCAAATGGTCAAATAAAGTGATTTTTCTTCAAATTGACACGAGCGTAACAAAACATTTGAGTAGCTAATTGTTTATTTCTTAAAGTACAACGCATTCGGTACAATCTGTATTTTCTAAAATACATGACAAGTACGGCGACCATAGTATTTAGAAAAATAAATCTAAATATTACACTGCCAAAATACAGAAGAAAAATAATGTATATATTAAAAAAATTAGCTATTTGAGACCTCTAGTCAATTTTTAAACGACGGAGCTGCTAGCGAACGTAAAGTCATTACCATGGCATAGACTATAGAATTGACACATTTCTGCCTTTTCTATTATTCACTTCAGAGAATAGAATCCGACGCCAGCACAGTGTTTATGTTATTTGATGACACCGAATAGCGTATTATGATGAACCTAAAAACTCAGCCTGTACCTATAAATCGCATTGGGTGAACTAATATTTTTATTTAGTTGAAAATAAGCAAATGTTTATAACATGCGAGTGTGTTGCTAAAATCTGTAATTATACCTACTGTTTTTATTTATAAAAACCACCTTACAAAAAATAGATTTCAAACATATTTTTAGATTTTTAAAAGGTTATATTTATTATCTTACACGTCGACATCATTGCCAACGTACGAAGCAAATATATTTAGTTCCGCTCTTTAGCATGGGTTTTTACATGAAGTCATGTGTATACTAGTTTTTATTATTTATTTTTTTGATGTGAGCTTATTGTGTACATTTATTGTTCAACGTACTATTGAAGTAAAGAAACCAAAATACCTAAGAACTCAAATAATCCTGATATTTTAATTCAAACAAAATTGTTCTCGTCACGTGACTTATTTAAGTTAACTAAGTTTTGTCTAATTTACATCACTATATTTCTAATGACACATGTCAAACGCTATGATTCAGTAATCTTTTTTCTAAATACGAATTTACGACCGTTTTCGAAACTTTACAGTAACCAAAAACTTCAAAAGTGCTTTTTAATAAAATGAGAATATTGTGGTAAATATAATATAAGGTATCTTGTCTGGCTAACCTGGTTTAAAAATTGGATACGCGTATAAATTTTATTACATATATTAGCAGTAATAAAAAATATAGAGGAAAAACTTAGTTTAATATGACTCTAGAAAAAGTTTATTTTACATTCAAAGTACGTATTATGTTAATTATTATTTAATTGCCTTAACGTTAAAGGTGATTTAGATTATATATATGTATTTAAGTTAGGGTATATTTCATACATTTTTCATATAAAATACGAGTATTAATATCACACATCTTGTTATACTCGTAAATTATTTATAGTAATAAAGACGTGAATAATGAAATAAATCCGCGTTTATTATCGATAAACAAATTATATATTATGCAGTACTCATGTTAACCAAAATGCAATATTACCTGTAAGTTTTACAGGAATAGGAACATAGCGTTTATAGGTTGGTCCTAGTTTCAATGAAATACTGTAATTAAAAAAGTTGTTTTATATTTATTGTACTGTAGTTGTATGTAACATTATTCAAGTCAAAAATTTAAAGTGTTATTTTATGAGAATCTTAAATACATGGGCAGTATCGGCTTAGTGGTTAGTACGCGGCTCTCTCACTCTTACACATGAATTTTTAATTTGCGCAATTTAAACAATTGCTCGTATCAGTGGCGTAACAAATAACAATAGGGTGGCAGGGCTGGCAAAATGCCACGAGCCTCCGACCCAAGAGGGCCCCTGCCCAAGAGATATCATGGTATATGGATGAATGTGAAGTCTCTAATACACATTGGGCTAGCGTGGGGATTTCAGATCATTCCCTCTCGCCTAATAGAGGAGGCCTATGACCATTAGTGGGATATATGCAACGTGTAATTGAGTACGCTGAAAATCTCGAAGTTTATTAAAATTAAACTAAGAAGGGACGATTTTTACTGATAGGGCCTTATCAAAAGAATAGCCACGAAAGAACATTTGCCACGGGCCCCAGATGGTATAGTTACGCCACTGGCTCGTATACAGTAAAACAATGTGAAGAAACAGGCATGCCTTAGACCCAAAAATATGGTAAAGAAGGCTCATCACCTACTTGCCCATTATAGAAAATTATAGTAACGGACACAGAAATCTGACGCCAAAACCTTGGGACCCTTTTACCCGCAAGTCATCAGTTATTATGTATACAATTCATTGTGATTGAATTGTATTATCTTTAGTGTAATAAGATTTTATTGTAACAAGTAAGGTTGTCTATTAACATAATCACGGACATTAATATTCTGCACGCAACAATGTCTTAATACGAAGTCGATATTTGTGTTTTATCATCGTTTGTATCGCCGTAGATTGAGACTGCGGATCTTTCTAAATATTAGGTTCTTACATATGAACTTGGCGTTTTGTATGGAAGAAACAAAAATTATAATTTTTAAAATAGAATATATTGCAATAATCAAAGTATGTTGCTATCTATGCACTTTTGCCATTGTATAGGTAGTTCATTGATCCCTTTACTAAAAAACATTCGGACAGGAATCAATAAAATCCTTGAAGGCGGTTGCGACTGCCCCATCACAGTACAGAGTATAACAATTTTTAGTACAATTGTTCTTAGCCCACTCAAGCCCCTCTGAAAGACCGTTTAGAAGGTCGTAAAGGCAATCCCATTCTATCTACTATGATGGGCCTCTTAAGCTGGGTCCACATTTGTAGCATCTTGACGTATCACGATCAGTCGTATCGTTTCTAGTATTTGTATTATACCTAAATATGGACGCTCATTTTGTCCATGTCGTATTTTTAAGGCGTATCTTGTAAAAACGCGTCCATACTTATCAAATGCTGTATCATGTCAGTGTACCAGCTTTAACTTTACAAATATGGACGCTTCACTTTTCTTCCGATGTATCCTTTCCTGATACGCGTGTCTTGCAGTGCACCTTTACTTTACTACCTTTACTGCACTACATTTAGCTCAACAATGTTTATTTCACTGCATTCACATCAAAACTTGTTTCATACGACTTGTATCCCCTTTGATGATCGGGAAAAAACCGACACAGATGGTTCGCGGTGTATCAAGAGTCGTATCGCGATACAGTATCAAAATACGTCCATACTACCGATCGCGATACTCGTATCGAATACGAGGTGTATCAAGATACGCACTTAGTGCGGTTCGGGCCGTATCAGATACGGCATGTATCATTAACGGGTATCATTTTGCGTCCAAACTAACGATCATGATACGCGCCGAAGCCACGCAACGGAGATACGATACACCGAAATGCTACAAATGTGGACCCAGCTTTAGATAATTTCATAAAACGGGACTAGACGCGTTAAGGGAATTCAAAGCTCAATTATCATCTTTTGGATTGTAAATACTGTATCTCCTCTTCGACTTTGACTATTCCCCGCCATTGACACTTTGCCACGATTCCTTCAAGTTTCTAAAACCACTTTTAGTATATAGAATAAATAATTGTATTTTAATGTTTTTTCTTTAGAATATTTAAAATGTTAAAAGATTATTTTTTTCCAGAGTAATCACAATTAATTATCATTAGTAATTTGCATGAAAAAGATTAGTTTTTTAAGATACAATTTTAATAATTCCAATTAATTTGTATTGAAATTACTTATTTAAAACTTGAAATTGATTAGTGAGATAATGGTTATTTAACCCCAACAACTATTCCGCGTAAGAACACAATGCCATATTTCAAGACGACAACAAAACATTTCCTAGAATAATGTTAATATTCGTGGTCTCGTTTTCTAAAATAGATCGCTTTTTAATTACAATTTTCTCCCGGTCTAATGTTGAATATTGGTGTCCAGGCCTATTTTTTGGGATACTTGTGTATGATTTATTTATATGACCATACTAAAATTTCATGACCTCTCTAAAGCTCTAGTATTTTTTCCAACTTTTTTGCTAATAGGATCTTTTTGGGTCATTAACTATCACAAACAGATCCTGAAGCTAAAAAAAAATACTGGAGCTTTAGAGAGGTCATGAAAGATGAAAAGCTACATACAAATACAAAAACCAAAT